GGTTTCAAATTCGGCCCCCAGGTGTGCGTGGTACTCATGTGAGGGCGTATGAAAGTTTTAGGGGAAAAATTGCTAACTCGGGTACTAGAAAAGCTAGAAAGCTGAAATTCTGGAGTAATGTCCCCTATCGAAGTACAACTCAAATATTTCAAATTCAGCCCCAAGCTGTGCATGGTACTCACGTAAGGGCATATTAAAGTTTCTGCAGGAAAATTACTAACTCGGCAACCAGAAGAGCTGGAAGGCTGAAATTTTAGGCGGATGTTCACTGTCCACGTGCAATTTAAAAATTTCAAATATAACTTTTCAAGCACGTGGCGTACCCAAGTGCAGGTATGTGAAGGTTTTGGCGGTAAAATTGCTAACTTGGTAACCAGAAAAGCTGGAAAGCTGTAATTTTGAGGGAATGTTCCCTGTCCAAGTACAACTTAAGTAGTTCAAATTCAGCCTTGAAGTATGCATGGTTCTTAAGTGCGGGCACTTAAAAGTCTCGGCTAAAAAATTTCTCACTGTTTAAAGAATGACTGTTAAATGGAAACTGCACATTTACTTTGCAACATATATGGTGCTTTATGCTAGTAACCGCAAAAGGTAAGTGTAAAGCAACAGCCGTTCATACAGTTTTGAGTAAATCAAGTCCGGTGCAAAGACACATGATCGCACAGGTCCGCCCAGTGCGTTCCAGCCTGAGTTTGAAAATGACTCAGCTGTCCAGTGAATCATTTTCTCGCCAAAAATTGCCCGTATACGAGAATCGCACATGCCTGATGGCTGAATTTGGTAACTTCAAGTCATACATGGGCTGAGAACATCCTTTGAAAACCTCAACCTCCCAGCTTTGCTAGTTCCCGAGTTAGCCATTTTCCCGTCAAAAAATTTCACGGGCCATGCGTGAGAACCATGTACGACTGGGTGCTGAATTTGATAGATTTATATTGTACTTAGGCTAGGAACATTCCTTGAAAATTTCAGCCTTCTTCCCCTCCCCCCTTTCCCAGCTCTGCTATTCCCGAGTCAGCCATTTTCCCGCCAAAAAAGTTTCACGGGGCCGTACGTGAGGACAATGTCTCCGTGGGGGCTGAATTTGATAATTTTAAATTGTACATGGGCTAAGAAAGTCCCCTGAAAATTTTAGCCTCTCAGCTTTGCTACTTCCTGAGTTAGCCATTTTTCCTCCGAAACTTTCACCCCCTCGTACGCGGCGCCCAGAATTGCGTGAGGGTTGGTACCGCAGTTCTGGGGTGGCACTTGGCAGGGGAACCTACTAGCAAAATCATGGCGCTGGAACCTGCTTGATTGCTGAGTTGAAATACCCGGACAGACGGACACAAACACACAAACATACACACACACACGCACAAACAGACAGGGTCCTCGAAATATGCGTTTTTACTGTGGCGCTATAGCGCTGCTACAGCCAGCAGAGACGCATATTGTCGAGAAGCTATCTGTGTGCGTGTGTGTGTGTGTATGTGTGTTTGTGTGTGTGTGTGTGTTCGGAAGCGAGTTCATTTTGTCACCCACTTTCACCTCAGCAACCAGGAGAGCTGGGAGCTGAAACTTTAAATATATGTTCCTACCCGTGTGTCACCCTCCCTTTTCAAGATATTCCCCCACACGCGCCTAGACCCCGCGTACCAGCTCCCAAAGAAATATGCAAATTTCTTTGGCGGGAAACGATTTCGCGAACCAGGCAAAGTAGAAAGCTGAAACTTTGCAGGGATATTCTCTATGCACGTGCGACCTAAAGATTTCGAACTCAGAGCACGCTTGTGAAGCGCGTACGAGCACGTCAAAGTTGCAACTTGGGTACTGTGCTAACTCGAAAACTTGCTGGAAAACAGTGGCTTAAATTTTGTCAGCATGTTTGCGTCCTCATAAGAAACCGTATACCTAAAATGAGCACCGAATTGTACTTGCGTCACAACTTAGAGCACTCCAAAATATTTGTAGCGAAGTGGATATTCCGCTTACCGGAGAAGCTGCGAGTCCGAAAATTCGCTGGAATATTCTACTTTCAAATACAGTCTTAATTCTACTTGGAGGAATAATTCCCTACAGGTAGGCGTGAGAAATACTCAACTCAACCGAAAAGTCAGAAACGAATGCGTTTTGCAGTGAACGACCGCGTTCACCCAAATATGTAAATGAACATTAGTTAATTTGCATATATGGATTTTTTGACAAACGACCGCTCGAGCTATACTCCCACTTTTTAGTGAACTAGGAATTTGCACTTTTTCAAAAAATTTGCATTTGTCATTCTTTGCGTTTTTGCTACGCAGCGATGTAGCAGCGCGCTATGCGCTGCTACAGCCAGCAAAAACGCATATTGTCGAGAGGCTGTGTGTGTGTGTGTGTGTGTGTGTGTGTGCAGAGCGAGTGCATTTTGC